TCAACACGCTCGACTACTTCACTCCCTATCACTAGTTCAGATGCCGATGCAACTTTCTGCATTTCGAGGGGTAAGACCGCATCCCGAACATGCTTGCATTGCTGCTTAGGGTTGTCATTGTCCTTACCGAATGGGGCTATGTCATCAGCACATTCTAAGTCAATAAGCGAGCTAGCAGGTAAAAGGTCTACTCCTGAAAATTCAGACGAGGATAAGGTTATATCTAGTAGCATGTCTATGGTAAAATTAGACATAATTAATGGTACAACTTTTCAACTGTCAATCTTAATCTTACTAACTGAAAGAATTAAAACTTGCACCACGTAATGACATAATGGAGTGTGATGTAACTCCAAATCAAAGTTCCAGTGATTACAAAAGTGATCTTAAGTAAGTTTTTTTTGAAAAAAAGTATGGTACTTTTAAAAATTATCACTCTGAGATCTGAACGCAAATATACGCATAGGCCGCCGGTTAGCATTTTCCAACTTACTCTATCCTTTGGCCTTTATTTCCAGTTCTACTCAAGAGCTGTTCACTCTTTTCATGTTTACTTCCAATTCTCGACATAATGTGTTCCATGTTCTTCCTCCTCTTTTCCTGTCACATTGATGATTCCACGTTGAGACTGGCTTCTTGATGCAGTTAGATACTTTCCTCAATGGTATATCCAATCCACCTCCAGGTGTTTTTTTCCCTAACTGCTTTCTCAGCTGGAATCATTCAAATTTTTGAACTGTTAGAGATCAATAATTTAATTTTGACTAAATTTTCATTAATCTCCGTTGGAATATGTGCATACTTTGATAGTTACCTCGATATTTTCGTTAAGTTAAGATGAACAATTATGGTGAATAATGAAAGCCCAAGATATGCGTTTCGTGTAAAAACACAATTAGACTGATTGAGAATATCCAGAAAAAATCTCACTACAAACTAAATACAACTTAAACAGAAAATAAAAACAAACACTGTAATTGTTATTTCTTGTGTTCTTAAATTTTTTGGTTTAAATGGAAAAATTAAGAAACAGGAAATCAATTGTATGATTTCCTGTTTAAATTATAATTGTATTTTGTTTCAGACTACTAATTTTTAACTACTAATGGTAGTAGTACTTTCGTGACACAACAAAAACCTATGTCCACTAATCTTAAATAATTTTTAATAATTGTCCTGACTAACTGGATTGAAAGTGACTAAAAATTTAAACAAATTCAATATATTTATTGAATAAGTAAGTTGTTCAATTGTCAATGGACATTGTTACGCAGTAATTAACATGATAATTTTCACAAAGTACCGATTTTGATTTTAAGTTGGTTGAGAAGGTGGATGTCTGATACTTCACTTCTAACTGATGATGTTGCATGGTAGGAATAGCAACCGAACCACATTCAGCTCACAGAAAATGAAACTCCATTCACGATAAACTATCATCATGCGTTTGAAATAATTCAGTAGTGAACGAGAACTCAGTAAAATCGGAAAACCATATCGTAAATCGTTAATTTGCAAAATATCAGTTCATCATATCGAACTGGACTGTTCCTCTGTTGCAAAACATCAATCCATTGTCACTCACTGTTCATGCGTTTCATACAAATTCCATTGTGTTCCCCCCACTCTTCCTTTCTCTTGATCTTCCCCCATCTTCTGCTGCCAGACATTACGTTGACACTCACGTCATATACTACTTATAAGTAGCTCACACCACAGTTTTATTAAATTTTAATGACAGTAGACCTAATGATGTATCAAAACGCAGCATTTAAATTGATTTATAGTATACTTTTATACTTTTTAAGCTGGAATCATGGAGATTGTTGGTTATTACTGAAATTACGAATTAGTCATTGTTGTTGGAGGACCACTATTAGAAACCTGCCAGTACTAGATGGCTATCAAGTCCTGGTATAGGACTAACCAATGGCCGCAGTGAGCATCCACAAATCCTGCTGCTCATAGGGTTTGAACCCAAGATCTCTAGTCTAGCGCTCGAACGTCCAATCTCTGGACTAATGGGCCGGCGACATCTCCAACCTAGTTGTATTTCATCTTTTAAGGCAATGTTAATGATGATACTACTTAAATGTAGTGTGTAATCATCCAGGCACCCTTTAGAACTGAGAAATTCTTAGTGAACAGTTTCAATGATTCTTTCTTTGTGACTCTTCTGTCTCCACTTAATTACTTAGGTATTTAAAATCATTAGTAATTGTCATTTTCGTTTAGACTTCCTGGTGGAGATAACTTTATTTATAAATTGTATTCTTCACAGATTAACATCAGGTAGGATATCATTGTTAGTTAGTTAGTCAGCTACAATGTAGAACTTCGTATGTACGTAATAGCATCATTTCAAGTTGCCATACCAATATTAACACACAGAGATGCAATTGTCAATTCACGCCCCATTGTGGTAGAGGTAGTACAAGTATGAGCAGTTATCTGAAAGATTAGGATCTCAGTATATTATTCCAAAAGTACAATGTAGTGAAATAAACCTAAAAAGAAGAAAGGTAAAGGTGATGAGGAACTCCGAAGGTTAGGATTTGAGAGAACACAAAGAATGAATGCACGGTTTTGAGCCATGCCATACCATTGATTACCATCGCCTCGCGGACCTCAAACAGGAAGTCTACACCTACCAACACGGCTCAGTCTACTTTACAGTGACTTCATGGATTTATGCCATGTTTTGGTTTAGCAGCCCCTAGCGCTCACGATAATTGAACCCACAACATTTGGCCTCACGCGTAGATGCTTAATCTGCTGACCACCGAGTCAGAATCCAACACAGTATTGAGAGTGAACTTAAGATCATAAGATTTTGAGCCAAGCACTTAATTATTACGTCACAAGATTATTGACATGTGTAGTCTATATTTCCAGCTCTCATCAACTCATTGTATCATTGACTATTTGCGCCCATTGGAACTTTGATCATTTTGACTTCAAAATTTATCACTGATCATATATACAATCGTTAAAATGTTATTTACTTTTAAAAACATGAGTCAGTCAATCTCTTGTCAGTCCATTTGTTCATTTGAATAATATATTAAAAATTGACCGCAAAATTTAAATTTTGGTCAATAGAAACATTCAAGTTGTAATGATTTTCATGCCTTATTGGTTTAAGTTAATAATTACAGTCACCGAATAAGTTCTAAATGGGATAAAACTTATATCTTGAACTCCATTATTGGCCATAATCCGTCTATATATATAAATATAAATTCATTTCCGATCTCCTTACTTACTTAGACCTGTTACTCCCAATAGAGTACAGGCCGCCGACTAGTATTCTCCAACTTACTCTGTCCTGGACCTTCCATCCCAGTTCTGTCCAATTTTTGTTCATTCTTCTCATATCTGTCTACACTTCTCGGCATACTGTGTTCCTTGGCCTTCCTCTTTTCCTTTGACCTTGAGGGTTCGAAGTGATGGCTTGTCTTGTGAGGTGGTTGGGTGGTTTCATCAATGTGTGTCCCATCCACAAACTCCAGCTCTTCTTCGTGATTTCTTCCTCCACTAGAATCTGGTTTATTCTCTTCCACAGTAATATCTGATCTCCTAACTTATTCAAAAGTGATCGAGTAACCACATGATCAAAAATCAACTGAAACAAGACAGGTAATTAGGAAATAACAACGCGAATGAACAGAACCGATCACAAAATAGGTAAATCAATAAGAAATAATTTAACGCTGATTGGATCAATATGAAACTCACTATGATTTTGAGATGGTGGGGAAAATTTTTAGCTAAGATGGATGGATGATTATGAGGGTGTTGGGGATGTTAGATCCACAGAACTCGCATGATAAATGCCTTCTTTTGTATTTCACGTTCACGAGCACGGGCTGATCAGTTGACCTTGAGATTTCATTTCCCACCAGGAAAATCCATGGCTGTGATTGGCTGCTGTGTATTTTAGTGTGCTATTTTCGCAACTGTCCCAGGGACGTTTCTATGATGTATAAATAAATGAGAGTTGTATGCTTGATTGTATTGTGTGATTGCTGGGTGTTTGTAGAATATACTTTCTACGCTTACAAAGCCTTCTGTCTTCAGCTTAGGATTCAAGGTAGCCAGCCTATCTGGACACTGATTCATTGTCTCGTTTGGCGTTTATCGACTAAGGTGAACTCGTAATAGCTTCAAGCGTACCTAGTGACGAACTTATCAGAGGGAGTTTCATTTTGTGAGCTGGGAATGTTCTGGTTGTAGAGTATCGACTATTCTTCTGAATAACATCATCATCATCGTCAGCATAAACTTCAGATAGCAGATAGTGAAATATTCGAATTTCTCCACGTATGAGACTCGTAGCTTGTCCTCTGTTGACTTTGATCCTTATTGATTGTTAGTGAGTGACCTTTAACCTGCCATTGCCTGCCTCTTTATTTTGATTATATCCCCCCACCGCTACACTAAATCATAATTTGTTTTCAAAATAATCGTTTACTAATTTCGGTCATTAGCAGTTAACTGATTAGAGAGTTATGTAAGATCGGTATTAGCAAGAAACCTGGAAGCATAGGACGTGACTCTTCAGCTGTGCACAACCCACGATCTTCGCTAGTGCGAGTCGCTCTCAGGACCTTTGATCTCCCATGCAAACGTTTATTAACCTCTAGACCGTTGAGTCGACATCCAACTGTATCGATGTCTGACTTTATTTAATCCAAGATAATACTTAACTGCCCTAAACCGCCAACACAGTTGAATTCCACCGATCACCGCTTCTTACTAGGACTTTAATGAACTTTATTTACACGAAACTATTTACTAGTGAGCACATTCTATTGATATTCATTATAGGGTAATGCATATCAGCAATCAGTCATTAACCCACTTTTAGAAAGAAACCTGGGAACTGTTGCAATAAACTATGACTTTTATCATAATTATTAATTTCATCGCTATAATTTTTTCAATTCAAAGGTTTAAAGAATGAACTGAAACACAATTACAATGAGAATAAATCAATCATGCCAACAATACACAGTCCAAATTGTTTAAATACAGAAAATGAAAATCCCGCGGAAATTGAACTACAAGAAGATAGTGCTGTTGTTGATGATAATGATGATGTTGATGGTGACGACAACGACGACGAAGACGTTGACGACATCGATGGAGATGCTGACGAATGTTCTGAATTGAACTCAAATGACTCTTCATATTCAACCAGTTCAATAGATCCTTATCATAAATTGTCATTATTAAAGAGAAAATCAATCCTATCGTCGAACAAATTGGATTTTCAACGATCATGTCATCATCAGCATCATCATCATCAGCATAGTCATCGTAATCCTCACCATCATCAGCATCATCATCATCAGAATCATGAGTTGAATAAATCGAAGAAACCACGTAAATCTAGAACAGCATTTACTGATTTACAGCTGAATGAATTAGAGAAAATGTTTGATCGACAAAAATATCTCAGTGTACAAGATCGTATTGAATTAGCGGAAAGATTGCATTTAACCGATACACAAGTGAAAACATGGTATCAAAATCGAAGGTTTGTTGTTGTTTAATTTTCAATTTTCAATTTTCAATATACATATTGATTGATTTTTGTTTTAATGGGGCTATTGAAAGCTTGTGTGGGGACTGGATAGCGATTTTATTTTTTAATATGGGACTTGTTAAGTTAAAATTGAAATTATGAATTGATCGGTGTTAGACCATTATTACTAGTAGGAATCCTGAAATCACTGAGTGTCCCGTTTCGTCCTAGTTAGTATTGGACTCACCTGCACATGGAAGTCAAACCGAAGACTTTTGATCTCTTGAGTGGAAACTCAACCTATAGACCAGTAGGTCGGCATCCAACTGTGTAGCTGTCTAACTTCAATCAGTCCATGGTGTTGCGCAACTTTACTCATTGTGTTCAATCAGCAAGTGCCTGAAACGGTTTTGTTGGAGTCGTTATATCGCCAGAACTCACTAGATAAAGGTCTTCATTTTGGGTTCTATGTTTTTGAGCATAGGTTGATCAGTTGACCTTGAGATTATATTTCCCACCAGGAAAATCCTTGACTGTCATTGGTTGATGTGTTATTTTAGTACGCTAATTTTGTGGCTCTCCCAAGGATGTTCCTATCATGTATAAATAAACCTCATATTTTCTGTGTGCTTGTAGAATACACTTTCTCTTCGTCTACTTAAAGGGGCCTTGGGATGCTCAGATTAGAGTAGCCTATCGTGTCAGTGGATCATTTGTCTTCTCTCTCGTTTACCGACTAAGGTGAACTCGTAATAGCATTCAAGCATATCAGTTGACAAGCACAACAGGTTTTAACTCCACTGGTCAAATCTTCTCACTAGAACTCTGGGAATTTCCTAACAAAGCTAGTCACTAGTGAGCACATGCGGAGTGAATGTAATGTTCAGATTATGAGCAACGTATTTGCAGTGAAATCGCTTTAGGTCGTAAGAATTCCAAATTGCCCAGAAATGTTGTGTTTGCTGAGCTTCAACTGCATAATCACCTCACAGCATATATATAACACTTAAATTTACATCTCATGAGAAATTTTTTACTAATTGAAGTTATGAGAATGAAACATCAGATCGTGCGTGGATCTTAATCGATAGTCATCAATAATGGTTTGAAATGCGACATTTCGGAAATCAACTCAGTAATCTAGTAGCAGCAAGTTACATTACAAAGTTCATTTCCTCGTTGAATCATTAGTGTATATACTACTGTTGAGAATTTTCATATTCGGATGGAATATTTTTGTTCAAAAAACATTTTAGTTTTCATTAGCTGTTGTTTGATCAGAAATAAAAAAATATCATCAATCATTCTGTTACGTGAGTGGATGGAATATTCTGGAAGTTCCTCTGTTCAACCTTACTTACTTAATTACTTACGCCTGTTACCCCCAGGGGAGGAAAGGCCGCCCACCAGTTTTCTCCAACCAACTCTGTCCTGGGCTTCCCTTTCTAGTTCTGTCCAATTTTTATTTATTCCTCTCATATCCTTCTCTATTTCTCGACTTAATGTGTTCATTGGTCTTCCTCTTTTCCTTTTACATTGAGGGTTCCAAGTGAGGGCTTGTATTGTGATGCAGTTCGGTGCTTTCCACAGTGTGTGTCCTATCCACTTCCATCGCTTCTTCCTGATTTACTCCTCCACTAGAATCTGGTTTGTTCTCTCCCACAGTACGTTGTTGCTGATGGTGTCTGACCAACGAATCCGAAGTATTTTACATAGAAAACTGTGAATAAACACTTGTATCGTCTGGATGATGGCTTTGGTAGTTCTCCAAGTTTCCGCTTCATACAGTCGAACTGTCTTGATATTTTTATTGAAAATCCTGATTTTGGTTTCGGTCCTCTGTTCAACCTAGTCCACTGATTTTTTTATAAACATTAATCTTTTAATCTGTAGAAAATAATCATTGAAAAAGAAGGAATATTAGGCAGTTGTTTCAACCTCTTAAAGAACCCTATAACAAGGTGTACCGATGATATCGTCCAGAGTCGAACCCACTAACTTCAGGTTGAAGCAATTAAATATTTCGATTAAATTTGAGTTACACATTGAAATCATGAATGAATCATTGTTAGACTAACATTAGAAACCTGGAAGTACTGGATGATATGGGACTCATCAGTGACAGTACGTATCCACGACCACTGCACCTTGCAGGATTCGAACCGAGGACATTCGGTTTTGTGAGCGAATGCCTAACCTCAATGTTTGAAAATACTAATCTTCATAAATCTAATTAAAACAAATTTGAGTTATCCAACTACAAAGGTATATTGTATGTCACAGAAATTCAGTAATTCGTTAAAGTATCTGTTATGCTCGTCAACTGATATTCTTGAAACTATTACAAGTTCACCTTACTCGGTAAACGAGCGTGAAGACAAATGAACCTCTGACACAATAGACTACTCTAATCCGAGCGTTCCAAGGCCCTACTGAGTAGCGGAAGAAATCTTGATATGGCGTAGAAAGTGTATTCTGTAAGCACCCAGAAAATATGAGGTCCACAAGCACACAAATGGAGTTTATTTATACATGATAGAAACGTCGTTGGGAGAGCCACAAAAATGGTGTACTAAAATAATGCATCAACCAATAACAGTCAAGGATTTTCCTGGTGGGAAATGTAATCTCAAGGTTAACTGAGCAGCCCATGCTCGAATTCTGGAGATCTAACGTCCACCACAGTAACTAAACACTGTCACTCCATTTCTTCGAATTCCCCACTTTATTAGATATAACATCTGTTGGGGATGTTAGATCCCCAGATCTCGCATGATAAATGCATTGATTTTGGATTTCACGTTTGCCAGCATGGGCTGATCAGTTGACCTTGAGATTTCATTTCCCAACAGGAAAATCCATGGCTGTGATTGGCTGCTGTGTATTTTAGTGTTCTATTTTCGTAACTGTCCCAAGGATGTTTCTATGATGTATAAATAAACGAGAGTTGTGTGCTTGATTGTATTGTAATTGCTGGGTGTTTGTAGAATATACTTTCTACGCTTACCAAGACTTCTGTTTACAGCTTGCGATTCAAGGTAGCCTATCTGGACGCTGGTAATTGTCTCGATCGCGTTTATCAAGCGTACCAAGTGACGAACATACATGAACACACATGAATGAAAGTTGTATAGTCGCGTCAATTTGGTACATATGACCTGTAATTTGTCAAGGTGTTTGAAAAAGTTGTAGGATTTGTGTGGAATAAACTACAAACTAATCTTAACCAGACCAGGAGTTATCAGACAACTATTTCATCAACAGTATCAGTCTCCTTAATCATCCAAGACCTGTAGTTTTGAGCATGAACACTTACAATAAAATCATTGTTGACCCGATATCCATTAGTGTACAAGTTTAACTTCAATCAACCCACTTCGACCAGTTTCAATAGTCAAAAGATATCGTAAACTCATTGAAATTAGACTTGAATACCATTAGCTTACTACGGTTCGGTTATCTTGAGTTTCAAAAAAGCTCACTTGTATGAGATCTAACGTACTGAGTTTCTAGTCCCAGTTGTGTGATCATAGATCAGTGTTATTGAGAAGCCTCATACTAGAACAAAATAACTGCCTAAAACAATCATTTTTATTTCTGCTTAGAACAGTTCGTGATTTCAGTAACATTTTAAATTGACTCGAAATATTCATAAATATTTACAACTCTTTTTTGTTATAATCACAGAACAAAATGGAAACGTCAAACTGCTGTCGGTTTTGAATTACTCTCAGAAGCGGGAAATTTTGTAGCAGTTCAACGTATTCTACAAACTAATCCTTATTGGGCTTATCATCCGGCAGCACAAACAATTTTAGCCAATATGGAGGCGATTATGAAAAAGAAGACTGATTTCGATTTGACCACTGAATCAGATCAAACTAACAATAATAATGATCATAACAAATTAAATCTTTTGAAAAAAATTAATCAAACTGAACACACTGAAACAACAACCACTACTACTACTACTACTACTACTACTACTAATACTACTATCAACACTACTCATGATCAACATTCAAGGTTGAATGATCAAAATTCAATTTCTTTCCAGTCATCCTCTGAATTCAATATTCAAACATCCTTGTCAAAATCCAATTATCCCGTTGATCATGTAGACAATCCTTTAAAATTGAACACATCAAATGAATTCACCACAAGTATAGAATCTTCCACAATCGTGAATAGTTTCCCATTAAGCATCAATAATAATACAACAGCCAGTGGTCATTTGAATTCCACGTGTACAATAGCCGACACTAGTCGATCATTGATTGATTTGCCAGATTGGTGGCCTTTTAAATCAGCCATTAAAGATTTCGCACAGTGTCATCAAACTAGAAAAATTCAACATTATTCCAATGAATTCAAATACGATTCATTGATTTCTTCTTCTTCAACAACAACAACAACCACAGCCACAACATCATCATGTACAACATTATCAGCGCCGAATTCAATTCAATCATACACAACCTCACCATCGTCATCGTCATGTGGTCGTCCTTCAGACAATGCATTGATCACAACAGAACAAATGAAAATGTTCCCAGTCAACTTACCGATGATCAATTCACAACCGTATACGCCATTCAATAATCTATGGTCAGATTTATCAACTTGGAATAGCAAAGATCTTCTATCGATTACACAAAATGTTCCATTAATCAATAATCTGTTTCGTTTCAGTTGTATCCCGCCAAATTGTAGTATATCAACAAAAGATCAACAATTAGTTTAAACAATAAATAATACTACTGTTTACTCATTAAATTGTATTGTTTCTTCTTCTTCTAAAAGTTCAACCAAAAATTGAACATTGAATATGGCGGTTTGAACGCATCAAGGTCAATATTATTGAATGGCGGGAACTTCAAAAGTCACAACTCAAACTTTTATATATATTTATTTATTTAAAGATTGCATTTGTAATGAACAGTCTTTTTGGCATGATTTGTTTGAATTGTTCTCGGTCTAATTTGCCTTGTTCAATGTGTTCAACGCGGTTCTTTCATTAGTTGAATTTGTATAGAAAAAAGAAATAGTCCAATCCAGTTGTTGTTTTCTCTCTCTTTTCTTTTTGTTTTTAGTTCTTTCATTTTGTTTTGAATTTTTTGTTTGTTTCATTCTCTTCAACTAACTTTAACTTGATTTCATTGGACATTGAATACAAAATACAATTTGATTTTTTTTTTTGAGTGATTAGTTAGTTATTGACAATGATTATTATGAGTAGAGAGATTAATGTGAACATGCCTGTCACATATTGTGGTGCGAGCTACTTGTAAGTAGTATATGACGTGAGTGTCAGTCAACGTAATGTCTGGTAGCAGCAGAAGATGGGGGAAGATCAAGAAAGGAGGAAGAGTTAGAAGAACACAATGGAATTTGTATGAAACGCATGAATAGTGAGTGACAATGGATTGATGTTGTTTGCAACAGGAATAGTCTAGTTCGATATGATGAACTGATATTTTGCAAATTAACGATTTACGATATGGTTTTCCGATTTTACTGAGTAACTCTGTAATTTTCATTAATTACAATTCGGTTGCCCTCACCTGTGTTCTCGTTCACTACAATATGAGTAGTCAATCACTGGTTGATTAGCTCAGTAGTATGAAACTGGATAGTATAGATTTAAATTATCTGGAGAATACTGATTTTTTTGAAGATTCTAAGAATTTGAAATCATGAATCGATCAATGGTAGACCACCATTAAAAACCTGGAACCACTGACAAACGGCCGTTTCATCCTGGTATGGGACTCATCGGTGGCAGTGCGCATCCACGACTCCTGCACCTGTTAGGATTGGAACTCGAGACCTTCGGTATTGTGCGTGAACGACTATCCTTCAGACCACTGGGCCTGCATAAAACGGTGTTAATGTCTAACTATGATTGCTTTCTTCATAAAAGTGAATTTAATACAAGCTACAAGGTTATGAGATTTATTCCTGAGTTTAGATTAACTTGATAACTGGGCTGCTAACAAAACCACAATGTACAAAAAATGTCCAGACTAAAGTATTACAGCGGAAAAATGAAGTACCTAGGTTTGAAATAGATCAAAATATGACAATGATTTATACTTTGTCATTGTAGTATCATGGAGATTGTTGATCTATAATGAAAACAACCCTATCAAGTGTAATAGGCAGTAACTACCGAAGACAAATGAGTGAGGTTGCTAAAAATCTTAAGGTTGATTAGAGTTAGGCATTAATAACGTGGAATACAGGCCCAGTGGTCCAGAGGTTAGGCGTTCGCATGCAAGACCGGAGGTCATGGGTTCGAATCCTAAGAGAAGCAGTAGTCGTGAATGCGCACTGAGACTGATGAGTCCCAAATCAGGACGAAACGGCCGTCTTCCAGTGCTTTTAGGTTCCTAATAGTGTATTCGTCGCACGCTGAACGACTCAGTGGTCTAGAGGTCCTGGCTTCGAACTATTTTGTCACAATTGGGAATAAAAACCATGATGAAAGCTCCCAATGTCTGGCTAACTTACATTGGTACATGATATCAATATGATTTAGCAATGTCTTTTTTTGACATCCTATTTCCAAGAAATGTCTATAGAGCATGATCGTAAACTTTCTTATTACATGTATATAAAAGAAATTATTATTGGGATATATTTTTAAACTGTTCAACAGGTTCTTATTTTGATTTCAACAGCATAGTTGATTTTCATTCAAATCATACATCGATGAATGTTAGATCATTATTAGAGAGAAACTTGGAAAGGATTGGATGGCCATCTGATCGTTTCTTATGAGAATGGTTAACTCTGCGCACTCACGACACCCGCTACTTGCAGCAATAGAACATAAGACCTACGGTCTTGTGTACGAACGCTTTACTCCTAGACCACTGAGAGAGAACAAACCAGATTCCATTTGAGTACGAATTTACTAAAAAAATCACTGAAGGTGGACAGGACACACATTCAAGAAATCACCCAACTGCGTCTTAAGTCAAACCCTAACTTTGAATCCTGAAGGCTGAGATACAAGGTAGACCAAAGAGCACACTTTACAGAGAAGTGAAGACAGATATGGAAAGAATGCATAGAAGTTTATTAGAACTGGAAAGGAAGACGTAGTACGTAGTTGACTGGGGAACGCTAGTCAACGATCTACGATCCAGTAGGGGTAGCAGGTTTAAGTAAGTAAGTGGAAAGTAAGTAAGTAAGTAAGTAAGTAAGTAAGTAAGTAAGTAAGTAAGTAAGTAGGCAGGTAACTAGGTAAGTGAGTAAGTTATTTAGTTAGCGGGGAAGTAAGTAAATAAGTAGGGAAGTAAGAAAGTATGAAAGTAAGTAAGTAAGTAAGTAGGTAAGTAAGTAAGTATTTAACTAAGTAAGTAATTAGGTAATTAGTTAAGTAGGTAGGTAATTAGGTAAGTAAGTTAGTTAGTTAGTGGGGAAGTAAGTAAATAAGTAGGGAAGTAAGTAAGTATGAAAGTAAATAAGTAAGTAGGTTGGTAATTAGGCAGGTAAGTAGGTAAGTAAGTGCATAAGTTCATAAGTAAGTAAGTAAGTGGGGAAGTAAGTAAGTAAGTATGTAGGTTGGTAATTAGGTAGGTAGGTAAGTAAGTAAGTAGCAAAAGAGGTAACATGCAAAAAATCAGTCTACTGTATTATATGTGAGATCTTCGATTTTTATGCGTCTGACCATTAAATAAATTCCTATCTTCTATCATTCTTTTTTTGTTTAGCCCGCTTTCTTTGCGCGTCAATGTTCAATTCAAGCTACAGTTAGTTGCCTCTTTCAAGAGTACCAGCTTATTTCTGTGATTATTATTATTACTATTATTACTATGACTATAACTGTTCCCTCTTTTCATGAAAATAACCTAAAAGGAATTTACAAATTGAAATTGTTTGCGTTGGAAATTCAATACTGAACGTTTTATCAAACGGAAAAAATCAATGTTCAATTTATCTAAATTTATTATATATATAAATTGAATGTTTAACGTTTTTTTTTTCTAATTTATTTCAGACAGATATAAATGTACAGACAAAAATACTACCACTATTACTACTACTACTACTACTACTGATTAACTCCTTAGATAAGTAGTCTTTCTAAGGAAAACCAAAAAAAAAAATCAAACAATAAAACAGTTAAAGAATATTTTTTCAAATCGGAATAGGGGAAATGTTGTGAGAGTAGTAGTAGTAGTAGTAGTGAAATGCACAACAGGAAATTCAATGTTATCATTTCCTCTCCTCTCTCTATATATATATTGTTTATCTCAGACTACCACTACCACTACTACTTATTACTTCTATTAGTAATACTGCCAAGTATTACAAAAAAACTGACATGAATTGAACGTTTCTTACACGATATTTTTCCCCCATTATTATTCATTATTGAACAATCGTTTAGAGGAAAAAATTATAATCATTTTTCACGTCGTATTTAATTTTAGATATGAAAAGAATAGAGTTAGTTAGTTAGAGGGAAAAAAAATTAAGAGTCTTTCTTAAAATTAACGTTAATTATTATTATTATTATCATGATTATTATTAGTAATTTGCTGATTTTTTTCCAAAATAATTGGGCGTCAATCATTTTTTCTTTCATCAGCAATAAATACTCCAAAGGTGAGGAGTATGTTTGTGCGCTGGTGTGTGTGCGCGCGTGAAACTCCTGTACAACACACTTTTACCTATACACAAACACAAATTACAATAAGCCGTTGTAAAACAAGTTTTTTGCAAGCCTTTTAAATGTTTTCAATTAGACAGATTTTCCTTTCAGATAAGTTGAGGTACTCACCTAGGTCATACACTATAAGTGTGTACTAATCATAAGCAGGTATATACGCACACACACCTATACTATTAATGGGTAGTTTACACTTGATTTAAAAGGAATAACGATAAGAATTTATCAAGGAATTAAATGTTCCAATATTTTTTTTTAAAAAAAAGACATTTTTGTTTAAATCTACTATTACTGTTTATAATTAGTGAAATGTTTCCGGTTTAAATATAAATATATATGTCTTGGTGTATATTCTTCGCGGCCTGCCCCCCTCCATCCTCCCTCTCGGGCTACACATTATTTGTTTCATTCAATGTTGAAGTTTTTTAGGGTGTTTGTCGTTTATTTTTCAGAAAAAATTTGTTTGTTTGATCAAAGAAACCCGTATTGTAGTTGATGGTACAAAGTGGGGGTGGTATTTTTAATCTCTCTCACTCTCTATCTCCCTCTTCCTCATACATGGACCGATACACATTCAACAATTGAAGTGTTATAAAATTGCCTGTTTGTATGTGTGTGTGTGTGTACGTGTATGTGTCTGGTTCCTTTTGTGGGAAAGTACGTGTCTGTCTGTATGTATGTCTGTCTGTCTGTAGAGTAATGATAATTGGTTAAATGGTGAATATTTGAATTAAACTAAATTGTCATCTTGTTCAATTTGATTGAAATTATGAATTGATCACTACGGTTAGACTACTGTGAGGATGCGGACTGTCAAAGGAAGGGCTGCATTTCTACAGTTGAAAAATATCTGGAACTCCAAACAACATTCAATCAACACCAAAATCAGCATTTTCAATACAAGTATCAAGACAGTTCAATTGTATGGAGCAGAAACTTGGAGAACTGCGAAAGGCATCATCCAGAAGATACAAGTGTTTATTAACAGTTGTCTACGCAAAATACTTCCGATTCGTTGGCCAGACATCATCAGTAACAACATACTGTCAGAGGAGAACAAA